CATCCTGCCGCGTCCGCCCCGCCGCCACGGATGGCCCCCGCCGCCTTACCCTCCCCTTGGGCTCCCTCAAACGCCGTTCCCCTCCCCGCGGGCCTGGCCCGGTTTACAAATGGGATTTGTACAGGTCGTGAGATTACAGTTGCCGGCTCGCAGTCATCAGCTGGGCTTCCTGACGCTGCGGCTTTCCCCCCAAGCGAGGCTAGGCGCGGGTTGGCCCTGAAACACGCCGTTTCTACAAAAGGAAGCGAGACCCACCACACCTGCGCTCCCCAAAAGAGACCGTAAAATGCATCGTGAATATAAGTAAAATAAACCTTGACTGCAACTGGTTTTCATGGTCTTCAACAGGCTAAGAACATGATGCAGCATCTCGGAAATTATAATACAATACATACATGTAAGAGAATGTACTACTCATTCAAGTGATTCCTTCTGGTTCACTCTGCTGGAGTGGAGAAAATTCTTTCTAACTCCAGGGACTTCAAAGCATTTCAGATCCAGTCTGAGAGGTTCCCTCAAAACTGTTTCTGAGCCTTTCTTGTATAAGCATTACCTCTGCCCCATCATTTGTTACTGTTTCTTCACAGCACATATGTGCCAAAGAATCGCCACAAAACTGACCCTTGTAGATATTTCAGGCGTGGATTTACCAGGTGGACTCTCAGTTCCCATTAGCACCACTCAGCGTAGCGTATATGCTCCAGCTCATAATGCAGAGGTGGCCATCGGTCGCACAGGCCCTCTGTGCACGGCGTGACAAAATCCAGGCCTGCATGTAATACACCTCCTGCACCGTTCAGAAGTTACAAGACTGGATTTGTCCAGAATAAAGTACTGAAGTAGTGAAATATCAACTCAAGAGAAACTAAACTTACTAGCGAAACACAGACTTCAAACTGCCTCACTTCTCGCACTGCACTGTGTCCTGCAGGTCCCCTTTCTCGGCCTTTCGTCTCATTAGTTCACGTTCCAGTGTGTCCCTTCTACAGGGTAAGACGCTAGGAGTTCTTGGTTTAATGGAGTTGTCTGGAAATTGAAGAGTAACACCCACTGAGAACAGGAAGCTGAATCTGAACATTTACCTGAGTCCACAGTCGAGAAATATAGCTGCAACCCTACCGGAGGCATTGCAGGCGGCCCACGTAACAGAGCTGCACCTTCTTTCCACAAAACACAGGTAGGGAAATCTTCTACAGTCCCCTTGTAGGCTACGCTCCCATAAATTGTAACATCTTTCCCGCTGCTTCCGTACTCTGAGAGATTAAATCTAATCTATAGTTTCATAGAACCTTTCAGTTTTAATATTTTACTCCTTCTCAAGGGTCCTTGTGATTCCATGTCAAATATGGCACAATCTCACCAAACACCAGATGGCCCAAACTACTTTAGGAAAAAAATCTAGTGCACTATCCAGGCTGTGTCCTGACACAGGACAAGAGATTTGGCTGGAAAAAAAATCAGACATACTGCAAGAAATTAGCCCGAACCAGGCAGGAAAGGAAACCGAGACACTGTTTCAAATTGTAACTGTGCCTCAAAGCAATACTCCTTTGAGCCGCTCTTTCCACTCCTACCTGTGTAATTTTCCTTGACTTACCATCCAAAGAGTGTTCCAATCAGTGTATCCTGCCTGCTTTCTCTGCATTTAATTACGCATGTTATTGTTTTTGTATTTATTAAAGCTACCAGTAGGCAAGAAGCACCTATGGCTAGAGAACACTACAGGATTCTGTGGAAATTCTCCTTGCACGGTCTGGCAGCGTACCAGTCTCCTACAACCTCCCTTCACCTTTTATTTTAGCTTTCATGAGCAATGGGCAATACCATTTCTACCTCCTAAAGTCCATTATCACCACTGGGAAGCAGGACTATACAAGAGAAGAAAGAAATATAGCATCTTAAAACCCCCTCTAACTCTTCTCCTTTGTACACAGCTTGTTTAAGCAAGACTCAAAATTTACTGGGCACGCTACAGAACAAAGGAAAAGTGCCGTTTCCCAAAGGATCTTAAATTCTATTTATAGAAATGATGCAACAACCAGAGGAGCAACCGCTGCGAGGAAGGGTGCCACAAGGCGGATGTTGCTTGATGGTCTCATTCTTCTGCACTCTCCCCACTTCTTCCACCTCCCTTTTCAAAGACCTGTGCGCTGCAGGTCCAGGAGGATTTCTTTGGGAGTGGCTTTGAGGAGGCAGGGTGAAACTGGTCAAGGCCTGCCTGAGAGCAGCATGAAAGAACTGAACACAGGAACGACATTAAGTTGAACATACGTTAAGGCCAGTACCAGAACAGAACAAATCTGATTCAAAGGAGACGTGAAAATAAGCTAGATTTCATGAAAACATATGGGATTTCACTACCTCTGCAGAAATTATACACGCTCAAAAAAAAAAAAAAAGATAAGCTAAAACCTGTTTCAGCTATACCACCATAGTGTGCCTTGCCACCAATCACACAGATTCCCAGTCACAGAGCAGGTTTTTTTACAAACCTCATATTTAGATGGGTTTTCTTTCCACATAGCAACAGGGGAAACTCGCATTATACAGGTGATCCAGTTCAGCTAAGAATAAACAGAGTGATAAAAAAATGCAAAGATAACAGGCTAGACAGCAGCACTCGGAGCAAGCGGCAGGGGAGAAGCCACACTGTGAACTACAAAGGACCGAGTCCTGCAAGGTCCAGGCCACAGCAGAGGGGGGCAAAGGCAAAGCTCTTTGTCTCTCAGAGCTCCTCCTCTTTAAGGCACAGAGTTGAAGAGAAGTGAATGGGGAAGCATCACAGGGAGAATTCCAGAGAAATTCCATCTCCAGGAAGAAAATTCCACGTGCCGTTTCATAAATGTTTCCATGTCTGGTTTTATTTTTGTACAGCAGATTGATAAGGAAGAAATACAATGTATCTAGATCTTGCAGAACACTTGGGCTTAATTCTCCACCTTCTGTTGAAGAAACCTGAGTAGGGAACATGGGTGTTCAACACATACGTCCCCTTTGACGCTGAGATTTTAAGACATTAAGATTTTTCGGATATTAACATAGCTGCAAGCAGAGGGTTTGTGCTGCTTCACATCAGCAAGCATAAGACTACAAAAGCAATTCCAGTTCATTCAAAACTGTGTATTACTTAGCAATTAATTTAGTGCAAGAATAGAAAAAAAAAAGGTTATTTGAAGGCATGAGTAACAAAGTAGGACTAAATCTGCTTTCTCAACCTGAACTCTTAAGTCTGAGTGGCCTATTCAGGCCTTCCTCTTCCTTAACGCTAATTTAGCCCCCGGAATAGAACATATATTTTGCCTGTTCTGTGCTTTCGATGTTCATGTCGATCTTTCTCTCCCTGCCCCAACTCAAAAAATAGCTTTTGAACCTTCTGTTTTCCAACTTAACTCTCCTCCTTCTCAGGCACTGTTTTTTTTTTTTTTTTTGCTTTCTTCCTCCACACCCTCCCCCCAGAAAATGCAAGGCAATTTTTTTTTTTTTTTGCTTTTGCCTTCCTTGGCTGGACTGATGGCCTGCACTCTAAAACTCTGAAGTCTTTCTGAGCCATATGAAGTTTGATGCTGACATAGTGGTTCCCAGTTCTGCTTAACTGCATGAACTTGACAGGCAGAGGCCATTTTGATAAGGCGCAGATGAAAGGCTCCCTTCTAGATACATGTGGACCTCCAGCCAGCATTAAAAGGAGGGCTTGGAGTTTTCAAGATTTCATACTAAAACTCACCATTCCCAAGCTGACATCCCCAAAAATCAACCACCTTCCTTATCAGTTCAAGAGCATTAGAGGCTGTAGACATGAAAAAATATTTTAATTTTTAGCTAGCGAGCGAAGCAGACTGTATGTGCCAACTGAGGTTTTACAGAATGTAGCAGAGGACCAAAGAGCTACTCTGTACCAGCTTTTAGTGTCTCTTTGCACAGGATGGGATTCTGGAGCAGAATAGGACACTATCTCACTTCTAGATCTTCCACCCCCTTGTCATCAACACCTCTCTCCCCATGCTGATGAAGAGAAAAATAAAGACCATTGAGACCGATGGGCACTCCCTAGGGTTGTCAGGCAAGGTAAGCTATAGTTGGTAATGGCTGACCGCCCACTTCTCTGGCTCCCTCTCTCTGTGGATAAGGCTGTGGTTCCCCACAGAACGGTCCACAGAGATATGTGTTTAGAAAAGGATACAAGGGAAACAAGAAAACGGACACAGCACAGTCACTGAATGAACACAGGGATGCCCCGTGTACTGAAGCGCCCCTAGGAAAGCCGCAGATTCTACTGTCATAGTTGATACCTGGTTGATACTCAAACAAACTAATGTGGAGACAACTCCTTAGCTTCACTACAGGAAAAACAAATAGCAACTCCCATCCTTCCTGCAAAGATCTCACTTGTTAGGCAAGCCTCAGATTTCAAGTAAAAAGAGAGAGCCAACTCTACAGTATTCTTTGTAATTCATTAGCGGCTTTTAATTACGATGCCCATAGAAGCAGTGGGCTCTTCGCTTTTCTCCTGCGCGCTGGCTGGTAACATAAGCAATATGAAATCTTCAAACAGTCACTAGAAAAGACGCAGTTATAGAAGCAGAACCCTATCCTTGAAGGATGGTGACAGAAGAGCACTTATAGCTGAACTCTCAAACATCCGGTTTTTGATTTGTATCAGCAGTCATTTTAGTAACACCTTGAAGGATATTTTGGATCTAGATTATTCCAACGCTAATATTCTCAAGAGTCTTCAGCACAGAGCAGTACCATTTTGTAAGACAGCAGGCAAACTTGACTATGTACAAGCAGCGATTCAAACACACGTACATCCCTAAATTCTGCCAAAATATAATAATCTTACCGAGAATAAAGGAAGAGCTTTCTTAAAACTGATGTGTCTTAGAGTCTCGAGCAGGTTTTTGAAGATTTCAGTTCTTCTACCCGACAACAGGCCATTCCTCCCTCCTGACTGACCTGAAGAGACACCGCTTCCTGTTGGCAGCAGGATCAGTGTGGCAACATGCTCCTACCAAAGATAACTGCTAGCTTTATTTTTATTGGAAATGATGGATGCAGGTGCTGATAAAGTAAGAAAAAAAGGCAATTTAGCAGTAGGGTGTTGCAGTATTTGTCATACGAGGACAGTGAATGATTAAAGCTATCTTGAAAAATTAATTCTCAGTGAGCTTCCTTGGGAAGCATTAAGCCCCAGCATTAAAGGGGCTAGCTTCTTCCAGCTATGAGTTTAGCAAGGTAGCATCGTTAAAGATTTTTCTTAAAAAGAATATCACTGAACAAGTTTGCTTCTTAGAGGGGGAGGCAGAAAGTGAGGATTATGCCGAGACAGGGAAGGGGAGCAGAATGGAAGGAAAGAAACAGCACATGGCTAATGATTCCCACAGCAAGTTCTTCAGGTATACTCAAGTTCAACTCCACCGGCACTTGAGCCCCCAGAGCTAGCAGGGGGTTGATCACACTAAACTCCAGCAGTCTCAGCAGGCAAACCGTGCCCAGTCTCTAGGGGGGATTAACTCCCAGGCACAGCAGGGGAAAAATAAAAAAAAATTTGTGACCCCAGGTATGGGAATGAGGCACAGAGGCAAGGCGGGAATCCTTCTCCGCCTGCCAGCACTGCCCCTCCACCCACTACGATCGCTCTAACGCTTCACTACCCG